TAGGTGTTACAAGTTTACAGCACCAGTAGGTGTTATAAGTTTACTCCAAAGAAATTACAAATGACTTGTTGCATTGTCAGTTGGTTTTTAGAAGGCATGAATGGGGCCATAGTAATAGACCGATACTCTAAAGATTGGTTTGTTGTGAGAATCACTGACCAGTGGATATATTTAGAATATTGTGATTAGTGTCCACTCCTGATTTGAATATAACTTTAAATCATGAAGGAACTGACCCAGTTTGTGTTCTTACAGAGAAGGTGTCGGCCTTTGTTCCAGTTGATGCGCCATTCACCATATTTGACGACCAGGCACAGGACACAGAGAACAAATGTGACCAGCCAGCTCAGACGCCTGAAGATGACACCAAAGAAAATAAGTAAGTCGTAGTCCTGGGATTGCTAAAAAATACTGTTACCTCTGCCAAAAAGATTGTTTGTTTATTAGTTAACAGACTCACCCAGAAAGCTGTGGAGGCCATTTTAAAATTTTTCAGGGTGGGTCAGAAATTGATCCACTTGAAGTCTGTTACACTTTGGTGGTCATACATTAATTTATAAACCATTAAATGAATAATTAATGCCTGAGCACACTTTTTTGACTGTTATATTTGTTATTATTTCTATTGTAGACCTCCATTTGGTCACCAGACAGTTCCTAAGAGACAAGGTCTGTCAGGTGTATTACAACCAGCCACTGATGTACCTTGTATTGTTATTATTTCTATTGTAGACCTCCATTTGGTCACCAGACAGTTCCTAAGAGACAAGGTCTGTCAGGTGTATTACAACCAGCCACTGATGTACCTTGTATTCCACTTGAAGAACAGAAGAGAATGATGGGTGAGGAAGAGGAGGAGGAACAGGTAGAAACACTGGTCTATAGGACATGTTAAGAAAATCAAATCAGTAAAGAAAATCAAATCAAGACAAACAGAAAAGGAAGTTTCAACTGAAGATGAAAGTTGTGGCATGTTTGATTGTAATTGGCTGCCTTTCATCTATAATCTGTTTTCAGTGTTTGATTTATAAAGATAAAAATATAAGATAGATACAACATCTTTCATTCCATTTTAAATTGTATAATGATTCAGTTATCATCAAAATAATTTTTCCCCTAAAGGAGCAAGAGCAGATGGAAGGGACGCAACGCAGTGACATCCACCATTACGACATGACCTTCGCCCCTCAAGGAGGTCCTTCCAATTTTGCTGCTGCAGCCAGGTTGGCATCCACCCCCTTCAACCCTCTGGGGGACCACCCATCCTTTAATGCCCTTCCCCTCAGTACCATCAGACCCAGCGCCCTGGACAGTGACAGGACTGATATCTCTGAGACCACTAACACTTCCAAACACTTCTCTGTGTTTGAGGACGAGAATAAACCTGACAAAAATAACTGTGGTTCAGCATCAAGAGCACAAGTGGCAGAGGGAGCGAAATCTCCAGAAGGAATATTTCAAATGCCCTCAGAGATGCAGAACTCAAAAACTGGACTAAGGTACGTCTGATAGGAGCTACAAACATTTTTGAATGATTTTTTTTTTACAAAAGATACAACAGCTCTACATTTGAAATTGTCACAAAATTGTTTAAATGTTTCTTGTTTAAGGCCGTGATGTTAAAACTGCATTAAGATTCAAGGACACTGATATGAAGTAGAATTTCAGTTTAAGAGATTTATTGGTAATCATTGTGCACAAGTCACTAATAACGTCTCACTGTCTTCAGCCCTATAATGGAGCAAAGTGATGAGGAAGTGAAGTCATCGCGGTCCCACTCTCAGGGGAGCAGCGTGGCCTCCTCTCAGCACTCCATGCATGAATTGCTCAACCTACAGAACCACGCCCGCCAGCCACCCCCCAGGGACCACCTCAGGGACCACGCCCGGCACCAGATTGACATGTCCACCTACATCGCTCCAGAAGACCTGGATGAGAAGACAGTGAACATCCTATCAATGTCCATCGCCATCGATCCCTACGATCCCTTTGATGAGGAGTTGGTGGCCAGGTTTTTAAGGCGTCTCCCGACTCCCGTCTCTTCCTTCCACAATTATCATGCCATCCAGGAAGAGATGCCTGAGATTACTGCAGGAACTGCTGTCAGCTTGGGTGAGATGGCCTGAATAAATAGGAAAATTCTACTTAATTTAAGTGTAGTTTTAACAGTGCAAAATACTATGGGAAAGAGGGACTAGTTTTAGATGTACAGAATATTTTTTCTTTTAAAGGAAAGTTCTTGAGTGTTTTTATCTCAAAAATTACGTTAGACATATATATATATATATATATATATATATATATATATATATATATATATATATATTGCTGGAATAAACTGCTTATATCTCAATCAGTGAAATCACTGTTCCCCAATGGGGTGGTAGGCTACATGTTGTATGTTGGTGTCTTCAAGGCTCCATGTTATCTGTCTTCCAGATGATGACCTGTACAGTGTAGATGCTCTGCTGGGAGAGGGAGGGTTTGCCAAGGTGTACAGGGTCTCCTTGCTGGACTCTACAGACATTGGGGATCTGGACGGCGGGGATCAGAAATACGTCATGAAGGTAAAGATGATTTGGGCTGATTTATATTTAATTACCTTAAATCTTGAAAGTGACTGATGTATCTTCTTTAAAAGCAATTGTAGATTAGTTATATTTGTATTAGAATTGATCCATTTTTCTTCAGAGACCTTTGTATTTCTCCTCCAGGTTCAAAAGCCGCCATGTCCATGGGAGTTTTATATCTGTACAGAGCTTCACAAGAGACTGTCCACTGTGCCAGGACCTGATGTGGTATGACTATGACCTTACACTAGTCTGTTCACAGGTTCATTGGTGCGAAAAAAATTGTGTGCACACATCTCTTTACTTTATTACAGTGAACTTTACTTTATTACCAGTGCACTAAATACTTTATACATCCATTAATTAGGGCTATCCAACCTTTAGACCAATGAAACTTGGGACTATTGCTACAGCCCTATATTAATGTAGGTTTAAACATATGATGGAGATTGCGTGATTTATTGACATGTGACTGTAATTTTAAAATAATGTTATATTGTTTTTAATTCACCATTATTTATGAGAAGTGTCATTGATATATATGTATATATATATGCCATTTCCTTCTCAGAGATCATCTGTGATGTCGATAGAGGATGGTTACTTCTTCCAAGATGGCAGCATTCTGGTCAACAAGATGTACACAAACGGCACTCTGCTGGTGAGTACGCCTCGCTTGGATATGGAATTCAGCTTTGGAAAACAGCACTACTGACTAATGGAAGCCTAAAAATCTTGGTTGACTAACGGAAGCTTTGTGAAACAGGGCCCATTTTTATTGAATTCAGCTTTGTCTACTTATTGTGCTGATTCCTTCCAATTTTCTTCCCCTCTGTTTTTGCATCTTATTAACTTTTAAAAGGGTTTGCATTGCTAGACCATGTTTTATTCTTTATATCTTTCATCTCTGAAACATCTTCTCTCACCAGTTAGATTATAATGATATCATGTTGTTGTTGTAGACGTTGGCTAACACATATAAGATGAAGCACATGTCTATGTGTGAGTCCCTGGCCATGTATCTCACCATTCAGCTACTCAGGATTGTAGAACAGATTCACCAGAGCCAGATCATCCATGGAGACATCAAACCAGACAACTTCTTATTACTGGACCTGTAAGTTGTCACACTGTGCAGTCATTGGATGTAAAAAGCTTATTTATTCTATATATTCTGTGTTTTCTTCTGTAAACTGTTTCCCAGCAATCAACTGTGTTGAATTGTGTTCACTTTGCAGTAACCTTGATGTTTTTATGTAGACAATGGATAACAGTGTTTACACATTACAGTATTTAATTCAATTAAATTGAAATGTTTGGAATTACTTCACTTCTGTTTCCATTCCAGTCCACACTTACCAGACAGCAGAGACCCTGAGGTGATATTTGGAGCCACACCCAGTATGAAACTGATTGACTTTGGCCGCAGCATAGACATGACCATGTTCCCTGCAGGGACAACTTTCCTGGCCAAAGTGAACACCTCAGGATTTCAGTGTATTGAAATGAAGACAGATATGCCCTGGACATATCAGGTAACTTACCTCCCCTTCCTCCTCTCCCCTAATAAAAGTGAACACCTCTGGATTCCAGTGTATTTAAATGAAGACAGATATGCCCTGGACTTATCTGGTAACTCTCATCTTTCTTACCCCCACCCCCACCCTCTCTCTCTAATAAAAGTGCACAACTCAGTAAGCACAAAAAATGTGTTCCTGCATTTATGTTTGTGTGCGTGTTTAGTATTAAATGCATTCAATGTCATAAACAGGTTTGTGTGTTACTTTCCAGACTGACCTCTTTGGCATTGTTGGGACCATACATGTATTAATATTTGGTGGATACATGAATGTTTTTCAAACTAATGGGAGATGGAAGACCACAAATACAGTGAAAAGGTAAAAGAACTTAGGAATACAGTTTTTCACACCTGTGCTAAAGATGTCAAAATTTTATGAAGATATTGGCTGTGGTTGCAGTTTAAGATACTGTGAATTCTGGCATGCTCTCTCAGAACAATACAAAACGAGGGAATGGGACGGCAATTTGGTTTCTAGAAAAGACATTACCTCCCAAATGCTAATGGTTCTTTTATTTGCAGGTGGTGGAAGCAAGACCTGTGGAAGCGTTTCTTTGACAGACTTTTGAACGTCCCCAGCTGTGATGAGTTGCCTAACTTGGGTGACATCCGCAGAGAATTTGAACAATGCTTCATGACAATAATTGAAGGAAAGCGTGTCGAGTTCAATGATGAGGTCAAACGGATATCAGTGTCCCACTTTGAGCTGAATACGCACAGATGAAAACAACCCCTCCTCTACCCTTGTGGGACATCACAGGTTTCCAGCAGGCCCATTAAGTCACCTATGTATTCTGAAACCTCAGTCTGGTTACTTTGTCAAAATATGCCAGTTTTGAGAACTTTCATTCATGGCTCTTGACAAATATTTAAGTTTCTGGGAAGTGTTGACATTAGTCTGGTAGGACCTTCATTTATATGCAAGATTAATTAATATAAATCATGTCATTCATCATGTATATATGCATCAGATTTCTTGGCACTTCATATGTGCAGCTGTGACTTGGGTGAATGTGTTCATGGTTAGGACTTAAATAGAATGGTTCACTTGATATAGATTCATTGTTGTAGATATTTGTAGCAAGTT